ACCTTCAAACAGGTATCCCTGACCTAAAGCTTGTCAAAATTAATCTCTATCTTTAGGTTTGATTCACTGAATACTCAGTGAGGACTCTTAAGCTATAGTTATCTTATACGCTCTGGAGATAACAAGATATTTCAACGACTTGTCTTGACTTCCCGTTTAGAAATTCAATAGTAATTGGTGCTTTAAGAATGGGATTCACTTGATTCGTTTAAGGCCACTTTTGAATGTCTGCTCATTCAAATGTTGGTATTTTAATGAGTCACACAAATCTGTTCTGAAAAGTACCTACTTCACTCCATTGTCTATCCAGTGATAGTACTAATTGTAGACTATTGCACAGTACACGTTTGACCAGGTAAATCCTACCCACTCTGGCTGCAGTAACAGTTCAAGTTGGAAGAGAATTTGCAAATAACATTTTTCACCAAGGCAGATGTCTTCAACTACTAGGAAAAAATATCTTAATTGCAGTCCAGACTAGATTTTCATACAGTTCCACCCTTATAGCTCAGGGCAAGTTTCAGTGCATGGCACACCCATCGTCAGTGTAGTGTAAAACATTATGACACATTCCATCATCAGAAACAGCATCAGAGGTGTTATTACTGAGTACTTCTGGGAGAGATTTGTATCCTATACTCCTGTCAGTACTTTCCAACAAATGCATTCTTTGGGCTTACAACCATACAAGAAATGTGCCCTCCTGCTACCATGAATGATCTTCCACCTACCTATTTTTAGTATTCACTGTAATTCTTGTCCACTCACTATGAGTGATAAAACAGACTATTGCTTCCTTCCTAGTTCCATGAGCTGCTGAATCACAGTTTCTGCTAGGACCTCATCCAAACTCTATTGAGATTAATTATAAGATTTATCCATCCCCTAAATGAGCTGCAGACCTTGAGTTCAGTGATGCATGAGGCAACTGGCTAAGCTTTTAAAGAGAGAATATTGTGCTGGAAGAGACTATAGTGATCTTCTAGTTCAAATTTCCACATAATGTAGCTCTTCATATTTCCCTGAATTTGCCTCATTTCATGGAAACACACATTGTTTGCACCACAATATGGTTGAATGCCTGCTGAATCCAGCTGAATATCAGACCAGCCAAGTTCACTGTCTAATGCTAAAAGCAGAACAGGGCATTGACCATTCAAGTTCTTGCTGTTGTAACTTTTGTGGAGATTTCCCCCAGTATTTTAAGTACTGTAATGCTTAGATTTTTACATTTACTGAACAGCATGTACTATTAGAGAAAAGCAGACTTGCTCTGCATGTGTTTATTTCCAGCTAATCTTCATACAATTACTAGAGCTTGCTAGGTGCTGTGATCCTTCTAATTTAGCAAGGCAGAAGTTGCTTTTTGGACTCATTAAGGAACCATTCTGGTTCTGTATTTACTTAAACACATTTTTGTTTAGAATATACTTAGGCTGCAACTCAGAGGTGTGATTTCAGCTGATACTTGTACACATATTTGGGCTCAACTTAGTAACTAAGTTGTATAGAAACAGACAACAGTATAGTTGTTAGCTGCCTGAGACTATAGCCAGTGCTGTAGATGATTTTTGCAGCCTTTACAGGCTCTGCTTGTAAGACAATGTGAAGGATTAGCAAAATAAGGTTCCTGGGTAGCAGTGGAGGTGGTAATGCTTGCTTAACTCCAGAATATGAAAATTGAACAGAGAGGGATTTTTCATCTATCTTCTCTGGTTGGCATGCTGAACACAACAACCTCCCAAATTGTGTCTCCAGAGTGCCCCTTTGACTGGCTTGGAGCAGTTGAAGATTATTAAATCCTTTCCTGCTAGGTTATACTTCTTTAAAATTATTCCTGATATGCAGACATCAGGTCCAAAACAAATTTCCTTTGCATGGTGATCTTTGTGCACAACTTAGTTTCTCAGGTGTTTGTCAGAAACAGGCATTTAAACGTGCTTAGGCCTGAGACCCTGACAAATGATTTCTATGGTCTTGAAAATGATGTGTAGCCCAGCTAAAGTCTTCTGTTTAGCTAAAACACAGATGTCCTAGCAGTTAATTAGTAATAATGTGATCTATTTTTTCTGCCTGTTCTGGATGGACAGATATTTTATAGCTGAGAATATTTTGTACCCTATAACAGAAGCTGATGGGTATGCAAAAGCTTTTCAAATCTCGGTGCCCCTAAGTTGAAGTTTGACCAGTTCAGCACAAACTGTGTAATTAACAGAGAGCAAGGGAATGTAATGCTAGTAGGGTTGTGTGATCAATTATGCCTACCTGATACTCAAGTCCAACAGAACAAATAGCTTAACACTTCCTGAGCATGAATGGGATACCAGCTTAGCCCAGTTCTCTCTAACTGTGCTAATTCTCCAATTATTCATGACTCATTTTTATTCTTGGTGTGCAGAGAAATGTGCAGAGGAGGCTTGAGATACATGGTATAGTTATAGGCATTCACTGGCTATAGAGCTGAAGTTGGCTTAAAATTTTCTTGGTTTACTTCTTTTCTGTTCATGCTCCACAGTTTCCTGTCTACATGTTGTGCTGTTAGCTACTTCTGGAGGAGTGGGACTGTGTTATAAGTGGGACCACTGAAATCAACTGAATTAGTAGTAAACCTCTCTCTAGAAAGAACTGTATGGCACAGGCTGCAGACTGCAGAGCTGGGAGGTGCTGAATGGGGAATGGGAGAGGGAGCTTTCTCATGAGAACCATCTCACAGGAAAAGTGCTTTCTGTCCAGGTACATACAGTATTTAGTGTTGTTTGGGCACTAAAGGAGGACCACATTTGATAAAAGAATATAGGAGTTGAAGTGATGTTTTAGGGAAATTACAGCTTGTATTACAATGAAAATTAACAGCTGCAGAACACTTGCAAATTAAGACCTTGTTTAGATGTTAGTAAGGCATGACTCTTGAAATTTTGTCTGAATGGGCTAATATGTGCTTTAGCTTTCTGCTAACTGGGAGCTTACAAAATCCTTACATACCATATTTGATTCCTAAATGCTATGTTTAGCCATGAAAACTCTTTACATGTACTTACAGTGTAGTATATCCTGTTTGGAAATGAAATTATGAAAATGTCTCTGGACCCATGCACTCATGGATACATGTGTAAAAAATGAAGCTTGTATATTTTTATGGAATGGGATTTAACAATTTCTGTTTCTCCATTTCTTATTTGTTCTAAATCTATTCAGGACAGATGAAATCCTAATAATTATAATCCATTTATTCTCTTACTTTTTGCTATACAATTTCTTTATTGGCATTTTTGTAGAAGAAGAGATCAAACACATATACCAAAGTATCTTTAAATAACAAGACCTTAGGGGAAAAAAAGGGAAGGTGGAAGTCCATAATACTGTTGCAAAACCGGGCAAAATCTGTGATATTTGCAAGCATTTTCACTAATGAACTTTTGGGCTACATTCATGCTAATGAATTAAACAGTGCCAGCAAATGTTCTTGGGACTGGAACTTGATTGTCTCTACCCTCAAGTTGACCTTGGCATGGTTTTGTCCTGGCCACTGAGTATTGTCTTGAACAATTCATGGTACGGTTTGGGGGTTAGCATGGACCATAACTGATAGCAAGTTTGGATGTGACCACCTTGTTTTGGAGACTGAGAGAGCTGATTGGTAATGACGGGTATGGTGGAGTGCCAGTTGGGCTCAGTGCCAGAGACTGGAGAAGTGTGTACTCTGTGTAGCTTTACCATCTGAGGCTGGGGTGCTCAGGATGCAGTGCTACTTGTAAGCTCTTTGTCTCACCATTTCCACGAAAAGGAGTAGCAGTGACTGTTCATCTTCTGTAGCTGTTTCTCACATGTAACAAAGACTTACTGAAAACAACAGCAAACATTTCTCAAACTTTGCGTCTTCATGCACCTTTTGCAGGTGAGGAGTTGCCAAGATTGACTTTTCAAGCATCAGCTGTGGTTGCTGTACTATCACGCCTGCCCTAGTCTACAGAGATGGCACCCTTTCTCCTGTCACTACAAAGACTGGTGCTCCAAAAAGAAACAGCAGAAGTATGAAAAATTGTAAAAGCAAATGTAAACAATGTGAAAAGACTGCATGACTGCCTGTGATACAATTAGAACAGTGTTTATGTACATATGATGTATGTACATCAGATACAACAAATGTTTATGTACATCAGATACTGTTCATATCTGATTTTCATGGGAACTTAACATGATGCTTCTGCTCAGGACTATAACTAACTGTATTTTTTCTGTGTAACATAATGCAGAGGATGCCAGTCCAGCACTTCTGAAGAGACAGACTGCAAGAACTGGGTAGAATTTCTAAATGCATTAAACTTGTGCAGGAATGAAAATTTGGATAAATCAAAACATTAGATGTGCCTAGTCTACACAATTACAATGAATATGCTAAGGGAACAAAAGCTCACCATTTGCACTATTTGGACTCTGAAGGTGGGTTAAGATGCATAAGTGGACATGACCTTATTTTGCAGATAGTGGTCACAGAGGGCAATCCAGCCAGAGCTACATTACCAATCAGTTCACGTTTAAGTTGCTACGAGGCTCCTTGAATTTCTGCCAGCATCGTTCTCCCTGTTCAGGCCCTGAACCGTTCCCAACTCGCCTCCGAACCCCAGCCCCACGCCAGCGCGCCTCTGCAGTCTCTCCAGGTCTCTCCCAGTAGATTACCTGGCAGCTCCCCACATCAGACCGCCGCTCTTCTTGGAGCTGCAGGCAGAAAACATTGCCCTCGGTGTTCCTTTAATAGGGTATTGTGTTTGTCTGAGAATCCCACCCATTCCTCAGCTGCATCAGCCCGAGGATGCGGAGAGCGCTGGCCGAAGGAAGGTGAAATGCCCCCGTGGGTATCCCTGTGTAGATGGATATATCCCGCCGCCGGGCCGCCCCCCCGCTCCCCTGGGCCTGCCTCGGGAACGCCCCCGCGGGTGCTGCTGCCTTGGAGCGCCTGGCGCTGGGGCAGCGCCGGCCTCTCCCTTCTCTCCCTCCCCCGCCCGCGAAGGCGCCTCCCGCCCGGCCACAGACACAGCCCCGGCCCTGGCCCTGCGCACAGCGGCGGATCCCTCGGGCAGCGTGCACGGAGAGCCATGGCGCGGTGCCGCGGCGATGTCCGCTTCCTCCTCCTCCTCCTCCTCCTCTGCAGCGCCGCGGCAGCCGGGTACGTAGGGCCGGGGGCAGGCGGGGGCGCCGCACCTCCCCTCCCCTCCCGCCCGGCGCGGGGGCTGCGGGGCAGCGAGCGCTTCCCGGGACTCTCGGCGCGGGGCTGGAGCCGGTCCGGAGAGCGGCAGAGCAGCGCTCCCCGCTCCCCGCCCTGCGCGCCCAGGAGCGCCCGGTGGGTGAGCATCACCTCCAGCCTCCGCAGCGGAGAGCAACGGGAGAGCTTTGCAACATGTATCGTATGTCTTTATATGGACGCTGTTACTTTTTTTGGGAGTGTATTTCACTGCTTGCCCTTTCTCCCTCTGCCCCTTTGGACTTTCTAGACCTACGTTCCTTGTGGCAGTTCCCTGGAACATCAGGCCTGGAGCAAACCTGACTATTGGGGTAGCTCTGCTGCCGGACAGCCCAGCGCAGGTCACCGTAAGGGGAGAAGTGATCAGAGATAACGAGACCATCTTGAGCAGGGAAATGGTCTTTGAGAAAGGTAAGGGAACGGACTTGGTCTGGAAGTATTTGATTTGCTTTCTCACACAAATATTTTGTTGCTCCCAAAATATCTCAACTTCTAAATGGTACTAAAATAGGAACTTTATTTTCCCATAGCGACTTTTACTTGGTAAAATAAACTCATACACTGCTGGGTCTGTTTGCAGTTGGGCAACCGCGCTGAATGGCAAGTGGTTGTGTGGATGTGCTAACTCATTTTAAACTTTGAAAATAAACAGGATTAGCAAAGTGGGATGGATGTGGGATTTCTGAGGAGCCAGGAAGTACTTTGGTCAATGTAGTGGGGCCACTGAAGAAGTAGTAGAAGAAGAGTTGCTTACTGGTAGCTTGTTAAGGTGCAAAGTGGAAGTATGTGCGAGAATGGTAAGGGTGGAACAAACAAGGTAATAAAGCAACTGAAGCTGCTTCTCATGCCCTAAGAATGGGAGGACCTGAGGACAGTAGTGAAGATGAGTGTGTCAGACACCGTTACTTGGAGACTCTGCATTTGAAGAAAGGGAAATTTTTAAGAATCAAGAACTGAATTGTGGACAGACTGGGGATTGAAGAGCAAGCTGATTTGATCTATGCCACCAGGCAGCAGTAGAGGATGTGGTGGCAGTTCTGAATAGTTGAAGAGCTGAGGTATCCTGGTCAGTGTTCCTTTTCAGAAAGGTCAGCTGGGAACAGAAGCATAGAGATGTCCTGCTGGAGATTTGTCCTCATGAGAAAGAAAATATTTTATATGGATAGTCCAGCTTTCCCACTGCTCCTAGTATGAGGCAATATAAATAACATCCAAACTCTAGCTTTTTATTTGTTAAAAGTAGAGAGTCTAGGAGCAGCATGAGGTCCTGAAAAATCTACCCTACTGTAATGCATTTTCTCTATCACTCATCTAATTCTTCTATTAATGTTTTATAGTTAATATAAATGCCTTAATTGGAAGTATCACACCTTCATTTCAATGCCTTCATGAAAACCCACCTCTTTTCACAACCTGTAGAGAAGACTGAGGCTTTGAGTGTGATGGAGTGCGTTTGACCAGATAAAAAAATTTATGGCCCCATGATGCATGATCAAAACTCTTCTTGATATTTCAAATATTCTGAAAAGTTTTCCAGAACTATGCATTGGCAGTTATATAGTTTGGATATTGTTTATCCAGTTATTGTTATCAGGTGTCATGTCCTCTGACAGCCAGTGTAAAAGCATGAACCTGAGGCAAATTTCACTGTAGGGGTATGGCTAATGAAAAAAAACCTCAGTGTTCATTTCTGATTTAAATCAGTTTTATACACCTAATCTGTTAGTGTCCTAATCTAAGACTAATAGTTGTGGTGATGTATGCCTAAGGCATTTACTTTAGAAAGAAAAATTTGCTAGCAACTACAATTTGCATTTAGGTAAAACAGACTACCTCTCATCCCTACAGTCCTAATTCTTAAGTCTCCGTAACACATTACCTGCCAATTTTAGATTTTGCTTATTCAAAAGTTTAGGCCAAACCTAGGATCTAGACATAGTGGGAGATTCAGCAGTGGATAAAGGAAAATTTTTATTCTGTGGATAAAATAACTTTGATGTATTTATTATGCTATTAGTAATGAGCTTGCCATTTTAAATTCACAATTCGTCTTCAAACCTTTCCTGGCAGTATTTTGATATGGAACCAAACAAACCTAAACCAACTAACTTTTTGTTTTCTTTTGAAAGCAAAAGTTATTAAAAGAAAAATAATTTCTCCTCCTTTTCTTCTTCTAACTATACTGGCTTTTATTTACTGCTTCTGTTCTGCTTTAACATCGAGTTCAGTGAGCCTTGCATGAGTTTCAACCTGTCTGTTGTTGTCCTTCTCAACATTAAAAGGCAGACAAGCAACTGGTAATTCCAAGCTTGTGAAAATATGTGGATGTCTCTTATCTGCTGAGCCTACAGAACAATCCCTGGGAGCTGCTAAAGTCAGAGTGAATGGTGGGTGATCAGGAACAGGTATGACACTGTATCAGACTGGATACAGTGAGGAAAAAGGAGAAATGCTGTAGGACATTACTAAATTTTAATCTTTCTCCCGTCTTTTAAATATATCTTTGAATTGTGTACATTTTTTTTACTTGATAAATGGAACAGAAAAAAAAAGATGCTGAGTAGCTGAGTATACAGTGTATAGTTTGCAAGTCCTCTTGCAAAATTCTTAACATTTAGTATGTGGCCATCAATTTTTTCTAGTCAGGTTACATAATCAGTTAGTCATTTGTTCTCTGTGAACAAATACGTAAGCAAAACTGTTAAGGGCCAGAAGCAAGGGAACTGCCCTCAAACAGAGGATGTAGTGTTGAAGGTGTGTATCCAAAAATGCTACAAGAGTGGATTAGTTCTGACTCAGAGAGAAAGCAAGTTGTCAGAGAGAAGCAAAACAGTTTGTCAGTGTAAGATCCTAAAGCTTTAAATTCTTCACAGAAGAACCACATAATAAGATAAAATATGTAGTGGTATTGCTATAGCTGAGCTAGTCTGAGTATGTGACTGAAGGAAGGCAGGAGGAGGTTTTATTAGGCCAGCTGTTGCAGTTGAAGGAAAAAACCCAAGCATATCTCCAGGCACACAAAATCTTTAAATGACATCATTACTGCATATATTAGTGCCCAGAAAATGTTGCTTATCTGACACTGAACACCTACCTTGGTTAGGCTGAAAATTCAGTGGCACTGTTGCCTAAGCTGGCAATATGCTCTGTATTTTTCCTTGCATGGTGACAGCAAAAACAGGGGATTAACTGCTCTGAAAACCTGATGTGACTGAAAAAGTTTTTATTTTGTTTGAATGATTTTTTAGGCAGACAGGTCCCCTGATTCGGTGTGCAAACATTTGTGCTGATGGAACTGAGATGGGTGCAGAGTTGGGAGTTGGATGGTGGAGACAGAGGACAGGCTGAGGACACAGTTTTTATTAGGGATGTTTAATCTTGTAGGCAAAGTTCAGCCAAGTGCCTAAGTGTAAGAGCTATTACATACCAGCCTAGCAAAATGCTTCTGCAGTTGCTTTAAGTTAAAGATTCAGCCTGGTTCTCCAGTAGCAGCTCAATATGATACATGTACTAGTCTAGGTTTCTGAACTTGCTCCATAAAAGGATGCTTTGATTGTTAAATGAGAGGCATAGGGTTTTTTTCTTTCTATAATATAACCCTTCCTTTATATAAGAAATATATATGCCTTCTGATGGTTGATAAAACATTTAATGTTTTAATGTTACTGGAAGGAGAATTTTGGTATCTGAGTGATTCACGGGAAATTGTCCATTAGAGAAAGGCTTTAGCGGTGGAGATTGGTTCGCATTATTATTGTGCTTTTTATATAACAAAGGGCAAATGTATTTACTAATAAGTGGTTAGTGGATATTCTTTGGAGTGAAGGAGAAAGTACACATGCGTTTAAAGAAGTGCTGATATTTTGAACTTGGCTCAGTATTTCAGGATCAAAATGTATTGTATAGCAAGGGAGATTGTTTAAAAACAGTGTTTTGCTACAGAAATTAAGTTAATTATGTTAA